TATATATATTTGTATGTATTTATACACATAAAAAACTTTTTACCGCGAACATAAATTTTATTTTTATAATTATCATTTATCCTAAATCTAAATCTTACTGCATTCTACTTTATACTCGAAATGGGAATATAATAGCATTGGTTCCTCTATTATAGTTCAAAGCCAATAAAAAACTTTTAAAAGATCATCCAGATATAGGGACTCTATTAAAAGTAGATTGATATTCGCAACTTCCCAGATAGCAAAATGTCGGCATTGTGTCAGCATAGCGCACTCACGATTGTGGATAGACATGTCGGCAAATGCGATGTACGCAGCATGCTTCGCCGATACATTGTGACGTGATTTGCCGTCACAATACTGGCAAGCTTTGTTGGATTTATGTAGTAATAACAAGGAAAAAATACACGCGCGCGCGCGCGCGCGTGTGTGTGTGTGTGTGTGTGTGTGTGTGATTGACGAATTCAACACATTTTCTTTATTTTTTTTAATTTTACAGAAAATGATACTAGATAAATAATAGTTCTTTTACATATTAGTTTGTTTATCGCATACATCTTTGTTATTAAACCTTATCGTGTATATATAGAATCTATAGCAAAATAGAATTTCAAAAACATAAAATAAAAAACTTATAAAATATATAAATTTCATAAAAGAATTTCAAGAACATAAAATTGTAATACTAATATATAATTATATCCTAAATTTCTGATCTATAGCAGAATGCAGACGTTATTAATGCTAATTAATTGTCGTTTTCGCTATTTAAGTCGGTTTCGTGAATATTATCACTTTGAATTAGTTGCATCCCGCGAAGCGAAATATGAATTGTTAAAGTTAATTGACAACTATTTAAGTCAAGAATCTTGATCGTCGGTGTTCATAATAAGTTCTTATTTTAAGATCGTCTTAAATATAATATCTTAAGTCACTAATGCTGCTCTTTGATTATGATATCTTAAGACGGCTTATGATATCTTAAGACGTACTATATTTAATACGGTCTTAAATATAAGATCCGACTATGAATACCAGCCAATGTGATATCGACGAGATGAAATGATGTGAATATGCACTTTGGCAATATGCGCATATTTCATAGTAATATGTGCATGCTCTGTGGCCACATATGCATACGAAAAATGCGCGAAACATGTGTGTAATATTTTATTTGTGATTTCAATGAATATAATCTATTAAATCGTCGCTTTGCGTGAAAAGTAATTTGGGCGAGAGCTCCCTTCTCTTGCATTCCCACCTCGGAAATTGTGGCCACTGTGCATATTCACGTCGCTACATCTCAGATATAATTCTGTGTATCGATCTTGTTAATTAATATTTATCGAAATGCAAGAAATATAAATATTAATAATGTACTTTAGCGTTGCCTCTATTAACAGTAAATTTCTTGAAAAGCATGCTTCTT